TCACCAGGGCCAATAATACCAACTAATACATAAATATACGGGAGAAAGGGATTATTAGTAATGGAGACTGAGAATCCTATTGCTAGCAATATACCCAACCAGGTCGAACACCTCGCGGTTCTCCCTGGAAACTATCATGGTTAATTCCTGATGAATTCATCATGATGTGCTAACTGGCCTGTTTTCATTCTCATCTATCACCATTCACTGGTGCTCCGCTAGCGTATCCCGTTAGCGCAGGCGGGATTACCATGCCATTTTCACCTATCAAAAAAAAAATACATAAATACATCCAAATCTAATTGAAAATGTTCCTGAAGTGACGTCGTTTAGAAATATTCTTATTATTCATGCAGTCTTTCCGTTCGTTTCGGATCGTTACCCTCAAAATTGTAAGTACGTTAAACTATATTCAAAACATTATTATAATGCAAGCGATTGGTTCCGATTTATGTCTAGACAGTCAATCCTTATTAATATTATAATTTAACTAGATTAAATAGACTAACCGCGGAAAAACAACTGTCTTTCGCGGTTTTTCCCACATGGTATATATAGAGCATCCTATGTCTTCATCCTATGTCTTAGGTATTTTTTGATGGGTGAAAATGGTATGGTAACCCCGCTTGCGCTAACGGGATACGCTGGCGGAGCACCAGTGAAGGGTGATAGATGAGAATGAAAATAGGCCAGTTAGCCCATCATGATGAATTCATCAGGAATTAACCTTGATAGTTTCCAGGGAGAACCGCGAGAAGGTCGACCTGGTTGGGTATATTGCTAGCAATGGGGTTCTCAGTCTCCATTACTAACAATCCTTTTCCCCCTGTGTCTTAGGTTAGAATCTACCCATATACTAAATTTCTTACTAAGTGCATTTACACGCTAGATTTGAAGGATCCGAGGTTAGAGGACAAAGGAAACATGTTTTTTTTTTAATTTGTTTATTAGCATTTGGCGTTTTAAAGGCACAACGAATCGTCATGAAATTTAGCATATACGAGTAAGTTGAAATTGGCACGGAGATGGTATAAAAAAAATATATCTTGGCCATACGGACAAAGTTGGAGCTATAGCTAATTTTACAATAAAAATTTTATATTGTTCAAATAATATCAGCAGTGAAGTGCTGAAATGATGATTTTTTTCTCTTCTTTTGCCCTTTCATACCTACTTGACTCGTTATTGTGTGTAAAATAATTGTATATAGGATTTATACACACACACACACACATATATATTATTTTTATTTATTTATTTCCGTAACATATAACATTATAAGTACTTAAATATGAGGTGTGCATATGATTATTTACATATATTTTATTAACATGAGCGTTTTTCTGTTTTTATTAATTACACTTCTAGCGTTAGATAGCTACCGTCCTTTTTCTTTTCTCCTCTAGCCAAAGGTTGTCTGCAAGATATTGCTTTAGTGATAAAACCGCTTTTTGTACTTCATAAGTGTAATGTATTATTCTTTAAGTAATGCAATAAAGTGTAAATAAATATGTAAATATTTAAACTGACCTGTGAGGATCATCATCATTAGGCAGTAAAGCGACAATAGCTGCATCCAGCAATCCCCAACCACCTCTCCAATGCATGATACAGGAGAGGATAAATATGTATGTATAAACACGGGAGAGGACCCGTTCTCTCAGCCACCTTCCAGCTCCGCCGCCCTCCTTACTCCACGCTCCGGTCGACCGCGCCAAGAGTTGAGATCTATTACGACAAAATGGACTAATTATCATTTATTTGAACAAATATTATAAAGGTAAAAAATTTTATTTTATGTTTGTTTCTAATAGATACACTCAAAAATTATATAACAGATTTAAAAAAAAATATCTGTAGATAGCTACATTATCAGCAAATGTTACTCTGGGCTGTATTTTATTAAAAAAAAAAAACTTGTATGGAGCCGGACAGGTCGCTAGCATTCCAGTAAGTTCGTCGGAAAAAGAGTCTTATTCATTTGAAATTCAAAACCTTTCTATATTTGCTGAACATGTAAAAACTGTTTATAGAAAATACAGTAGAACCTTAGATTATATAGTTAGAGTGTCTCCATACAAATGCTTCGAAAAATGCGGGTCAGCGTTTTCATACAATTTAGCGTGATAAATAGTTATGAATGTCTCCTTTATAACTTCTATATTTATTGTTTTATAATTTTTGATTTTTTTTAATGCGTAAAAACTCATTTGATTTATTAAATAATTAAGTATAGATACGTCAAAATACATTATGTGCGTTAGTATATAGAAAAAACGAGTCGGCTAATTTGACAATTAGCTGACAAAAAGTTGACCCGATTTTAGACTCGATGCTCTATCTAATCTAAGAGTACTCTTAGCCGCTCGATCACACCTGTTACCTGGGGGTCTACCATGAAATGAAATTCCGAATTATCGAACTCAATTTCATGTTTTAGTTTATACCGAATTCGATGTGTCATATTATATCATATCATAGTATGTACCATGTAATTTTAACATCAAATATGTGTTTTGTTCGGCCTCGAAATTTCGGATAACACTTCATGGTAAGCCCTTTAATCTTCAATGTCAGATTATTGTTAATAATAATGTAAGTGTGGATATTACAATAAATCAGCTGGTAGGACGTGATGATTAACATAACAATAAACTAATTGTTGTTCCAAGTTATTGTTTAAATTATGTACCTATACCTGTACTTCATATAAATTAACACACAAAATAAGATGACCTTTTATAAATACATCACGCATACACATATACGAGTATACATACCAGAGGGAGACTTTGTACAAAAGTCGATTGCTTGGGTACCTCTGGCCCATTCGTGTTTCAACCGTGAAGCAGCTGTGTTTGCATGGCTGTGTTTCGGTTTGAAGGGTGGGATATGGAGTGAATTTACTGGGTACAGAGGAATAACATCTGAGTCCTCAGGAATGGCAACACATGGGGGGTATCATGGGCGTAACAGTATACTCTGTTATGTCCATGGTACTGCGGATGGCTATAGGCGTTGGTGGGCCATCAGGTGGGCCGTCAGCTTGTTTGCCATTCTAAGTTGTATAAAAAAAAATGTAGGTGTACAATGAATTCAAACGAATTTATAGTACTTCCTTCTTTTAGAAGTCGTTTAACAACAATGAAATTGTTATTTTTCTCTCATTTTTGGAAAGTACTCAGCAGTGGATAAATAATGGCTAAAACGATAGTGATGATGATGGAGAGTATTAACCAACATACCTGATTAAAGCGAAACATATATGTATGACAATGCCCATAACATATATCTGTGCGAAAGGAAATAACTCGGCATGGAGGTCCATGATACCCCAAGTGCCTCGCCACACGCTGACTACAAGGGGAGCGACGACAAAACTGGCAAATACAGCATCACCTGATAATAATTAAAGAAAAAAAATGTTTTTTTTTTCGAGTATATTAAAAAAAAATTTAAATAACCATTTTTCAACCGACTTCAAAGAGAAGGACGTTTCAGTTCGGTTTTTTGTTTTATGCTTGTTATCTCATAATTCCATCTTTAGAAATTTTCGAATCATCAATCCTTTAAAGAAATAATATTTAAATGTAAATCCATTTTTTGTAGTTTCGTTTCCCTGAAAATTTGGAGCCAATTTTACAGACTACTAAGCGTAATGGTAAATTTGCGGTTTATTTGATTTGTTTTCGAGTCGGGAAGACATAGACTAATCTATCATTATCAAGTATATTGTACAATATCTGGGATAAAAAGACATTGGAATCGACATGCAAATATGTGACGAGTTATTGATGTACTATGAACTAAAATATGTATGTGTAAGGATTTACATTATCGTGTTACTCTGCCAACCTCATAAATTATTTGGTATGATGGCATATTGATCACACCATATACAGATATATTCTTGATAAATTAATTTATATCTGTTTAAGTCTATGTAAATATTGCAAAAATAGGTAGTAATTCGAAAATAAACTTTATAGAAGTTAATATGCGAGAGATTATTTAGATTACTGTTCATTTAACAATGAATATTTTTTAGAAGCATTCAATTAAAAATCGTAGTACGAGACATGTTGCATGTAAAATCATGATTTCACGCCATCTAAGTTATTTGATTGAGTGTACTCTCTAATCACTCGACTCTACTATAATCTACCATTATTGTATAGTGCCTTCATAGTGTATATATGTATATATATTCAATATTATTTTATTAATAATAAAAAAGTAATTTTTACTATATTTAATCAATTAAATTAAACTGTAGTATATACAAAGTAAAATTCGACTATATTTTTAATTGTGTAAATATATTTAAGAGATATCTTTATAAATTTTAGGGTAATTTTGATGATTCTTTTTGTAATAAGCAAAGTTTACTAATCAACATATTAATTATGTAAAATGGAAGTAATTTTTTTCGTAATCATAATTAACACTTATATAGATATAGATAGATAGATACCCTTTATTGTTTCCTCCATATGATTATAATAGCAAACTTATTATAAATACAAACAATTACAAGAAAATATTACACTTAGAAAGAAAAAAGAACAACGGACGGCTTTATCACTAAGGGCACTCTTCCAGACAACCTTTGGATGGAAAAGAGTAATTTAAACAGTTTGATTGGAGATACGAAACTCTGTTTGTTTAGATATTTGTTTCTTAATCATACTCAAGATCCTTAGTTTTAGATTCACTATCGTCATCATGTCAGCCGTTAGCTGTCCACTGCTGAACATAGGCCTGTCCACTGCATAACATTAGTAATTTTTATTGTTTTTTTTTAGCTTTTTTTTTTGTTTTCCTAGATTACGAATTACATTAATTTACAAATAAGATACTACTTTGTCTAAATACACAGTAAAAGAAATAGGATACAGCTAGTATTAATAAAAAACTATATACCTGTACCATAGCTGACTTCGTTGCAGTCACAATCCTCGTTTTCAACGTCACCATTGCATTCCGATGACCTTTTCTCCGAAATGGGCATCACTTGAGGCAGCAAATTCTCCGACAAATTTATCGCCATCTTGAATTTTTTTATTTTCAAGTCAGGCAATTTTATTTATATATATATATATATATATATATATTTTTATTAAATATTAGAATAATTGTTATTTTATGTTTTATATTCTGTATATTTTCGTGTGTAACTTACACGACATACTATGATGATTTCGATGATTTATTTGCAATTTGATTTTATAACAATTTTATTATTTTTTTTAGAACAAAAACTGTAATTAACTAATCATTAATTTAAATTGTTAAACAATTTGACATGTTAAAAACAACATCTAAAATCACAAAATACATTTTTGCGCTCATAATATTGATCACTCAAACAATATTGTTTACCCCACAGAAGTGGTAAACAAGCAAACGGCCCGGCTGTACATAAATGGCAGGGAGCTCATTCCAGAATTACCGCTTTAGAAAGCACTACAAATCTGACGCTATACGTCTTAAGGAATTGAGTATCAAGTCAAACAATCCCTTAAAATACACTCTATTATACAAGAAGAAGGCAAAGTCCGTCTTCAGATAACCCAAACTCATAAGTGGGATTAAATTCTTAAAAATAAAAATTACAAACATATCTCATCCTTTGTTTATGCTAGTATCCCACCAAAAATCAATTATACTCGTTAAGGTAGTGCGCGTGCTTACTTTTTTATGAACTAGAAAAAAAAATATTTAAAATTCGAATAATGATTATTTATATAATTTACTTCTTCTTGCACTTTCCCCATTGCACAGGTTTTCTAAGAAATATATAGCCTTAAACATATACACTATGTAAAATAAAAAAAAAACAACAAGGTTAGATAAGAATAAAAAAAAAAGTCTAAAAAAATTGGCGCGAATATATTTTTCACAAATCGAACGTTTTCGAATCGATTGTAGCTCATTGGTAACGATTGATTTACGCGACTGCTCTGCGGTCACTGAAATAGTGAGTACGCATTGAATACCAATACCCGAAAGCAATTATGCTTTTTTCTACAATTCTCACGGTTCATCGCATTTCGACGTTCCATTAAAAATTCACATCACCAGACGTCTTTTGAAGTAGATTATTCAACTTCATACGATTAAGTAAGATTTGAATACTGATTGATGATACATATAATTGTTAGGTTTTAGTAAATCATCTTCATTACCATCATCGTCATTAGATCAACCGTTATTTGTTCACTGCTCAACATAGACAAATACAAATAGAAAGCTGATTATTGAAAAAAAAAAAAAACAAAGGAACATTATGGCGTGTGAAAAAAATTATTATTGTTCGTTATTCGTCCTTGAACTTAAAAAGTAAAATTCTTTTTGATTTCCTCACATTGTTTGAGAAAAGTACTATACAAGCCTTGGCCACAACTATATATATATATAATTATTTATCGTATTATTTTTACACTATATATGTTATGCTTCGGATTTTTAAGGTTTACTGTAAGAAATCCCTTTAAGGGATAAGATCGCCTTTGTATATTTTTGTCTGCCTTTTGTACATGTCATTTTTGTAATATGGTCCATAAAGAATACGTAAATAAATAAAACATCTATACATCAGTTTTCGTGAAATTGACGTAATAATCCATTGGAAAAAAATATTTCCAAAGCAAAGATAAACGATAAATTTCCAATAAACGGCTTAACCCTGAACTTGGCTTATGACAAAAACGTAATGGTTTTATGAAGAAAAAAAAAACTGTGTTACAATCGATTCTCTTAACAGATTTTTCTGGACAAAGTAGAAAAAACACTTTTCTATTGTAACAGCGGTATTACGTGATTTTTGCTTAGTAAAACGATTAAGTTTTTATATTACAAATAAATAACATACTTTAACTCAATAGTGTGGTTTTTCTTTTTTTTTATGTCTGGTCTATTTTTATTCGCTAATATGACTATATATTTATGACTGTTCCTGATGTCGTGAGTATAGATATCAAAAAGTATAAAATAATGACAAAAATAAATTGTATTATTTGTACTACGACATATGAGTGTATTATACCAGAGGGAGACTTTGTACAAAAGTCGATTGCTTGGGTACCTCTGTCCCATTCGTGTTTCAACCGTAAAGCATTTGTGTTTGTAAGGCTGTGTTTCGGTTTGAAGGGTGGGATATGGTGTAAATTTACTGGACACGGAGGAATAACACCTAAATTCTCAGGAATAGCAACGCATGGGGGGTATCATGGGCGAAACAGTATACCTACTCTGTTATATCCATGGTACTGCTCATGTCTATAGGCGACGGTTACCACTTTCCATCAGGTGGGCCGTCAGCTTGTTTGCCGTTCTAAATTGTATCAAAAAAAATGTGAATTTTATTTTGCAAAAAAAAGGATTTCCATCCTGATAAAATTAAATTAGATATTTTTTAATGAATAAAACACATCGGTATACGATTACATATTTTCTTATCTTTATCTTTAAAATTTTTAAGCAAATTTTATATTCTATATTATAAAATAATAAATACGGAAGTTGTAACGATAAATGGATCGATAAATGAATAGATGGATATTTGTTACTCTTTCACACAAGAGCTACTCAACAGATTTGAATGAAATTTGGTATACCAGTAGGTTTTATCCTAACTTAACACGTAGGACACTTTATATATTGAATCACGTGGGCAGAACCGAGGGATGCAGCTAGTAAGTAAATAAAATTCTTTTATGTCATACAAATTTTTATTTTGATATAATTTTACTTATACATGTAAACAATTTAACTCAGAACATGAAGTTCAAACATCATAACATACATATATTTTCCAGAATACGAATTATTGCAGGCTGATTACAATAGTTAAGTATTTAAAAACCAACAGACAGAATAGTTTCACAGCCAAGCACACACTGACTTACAATATATAGATATAATAACTAGAAATGTTCCATTATTTCTTAAAAACGGCGACGAATTCATTCTTAACACGCCGACTGCCACGACAATTTTCAGAAATCTGACCTAAAATGACAATTTGTTTTAATCACATTATATTATTAAAAACTCCAAATCATAATTATCATCAAAAACAATAAAAAAAACACATAGAAATGTTATTTTATTTCTTGATTTTAAATTAATTTTTATAATTGTATTTTTAATTCGTTTTTTATTAAATTTACTAATCATGCAAACCAGCATTTATTTTTTGTACTTTTACCAGAAGCCATTTATCGATATTAGCACTGATATAATCCGAGTTTAATTAAGCTGCACTAAAATGGCAAGTAAACACAGGTCGAGATAACTCGTAGTTGAGGTCCTAGAAAAGAACGCAACCTACACCAGTTGGCAGTCAACGTTTCTTGAAGCTTATTATATCGATCAACAGTTTTAGAACAATCCAATTTGTCTATTGTTCTAATAAGAAGAGAGTTCCAATTTTGCATTTTACAAATGGTAGAGTGAAGAATACAGTTGCAACACTTTTAGAAATATTCACCCCGTATATTAGCGTAATATACAAAGCATGTATGTATATGTCATATGCATATAAAATACCAAATCAACAAATAAGGGTGTAACATTAGTCTAGCTTTTTTTAAAATAATAACATTTAAATTGCATCTATACGTAACTTTATTTATCGTACTTGACTGTAGAAGCTAGGAAAGTACATGCTATTTCTACTAAGTTATCATTTTTTCAAACATTGAAATAGAAACAATAGATGATTGCTTCACAGAATTCTAGATGTCTACTACAATTTTTGCTAACAACTTTCTCATGCTTATATTAATTAGAAACGTCAAGTTTGCAGTTTCATTAACAATACTTATCAATATAAGGTTACATAGTAAACAAGGGTAGCTAACTATACAGGTGTTATCCGAAAATCACTGCATATAGTTAAGCATACAAAATATAAATATGAAAAACGTGGTTTATACTTTTAAGCAAGTAAAATCATTAAAATTAATATGATTTGAAGATTAAACTAAATTGAATAATCATAAGAGATTACATTATTATATTTACAATGTTATAATTAAGTATCCTACTATCTCAGAAATGTCGGTTTAGAGAAAAAATCTGAAGACCCAAACAAGTGCTAAATTGCTCCAATTCTATATGCGCAAGTACCTAGTAGATTGGTTCTTAGCATTTCATTGTTTTTTTTTCGAGCTGTTGTTGCTGTTGGCTGCAGATGGGCTTGACAGCTTCACGCGAACGCGTGTGCAGGGACGAGTGCGGATGGCATTCCAAGCACGCGAGAGGGGAGCGACAGAGTATCGACTCTTAACGATGGTCTGCGGCGTACGCCCAAGAACGCCAGAGCGGTTAAGACCTCGGCTTAGGTCACCGCACTTCGACACCCGTCGAGGGACAAAGGTTTGTTGTAACGACGGAGGTGGAGGGGTCAAAGAGATGCGCTCAAACGTAAACCTCGCGTTCCGCAGTAAGGAGCTGAGGGAGTGGCATTTTCTAAAGTTACTGGATCGTCGGGGTCTAAGAGTGCGTGCCTCGGACGAGGACGTCGGAGAGGTGGCTTTTTATTGTATCAGTTCGCTAGTTAACGAGACGGCATGACATATTATTTTTTCCTATACGGGTAGTAAGCCCAATTCTGGTTATTAACTGTAAAAAAATAATAGTAATTATTCTTTGTCAAAGTTGGGATGATTACATTCTACACCAGTTCCTCTTTTTTTTTATAAAAAAAATTGAAAATTGTTAAAAGTAGATCGAAAGGAGAAGAAAGAGACGAGAAAGAAAGAAATATTAATGTTAGAATTGGAATCATTTTTCACTTGTAAATAGGCTTACAGGATCTAAAATGGCCACTTTAATAATTTTAAGTGTATCCGAAAAATTCATTTGCAAATTAATTGCTTTTTAAAATTTCCTAAAAAAATCCTCGAAATAAACTGTGTTATTATCATCAATCCAGCCTTCCATGTCCTCAGATAAACATTTTTACTATTATTTTTATATTACGGTCCCGCCATAGATAACGTTGGCTTTCCCATATATTGCTATACTCGTATTCATACTGTATTCTTCCAAGAGCACATTTCATGTCATAACTGCATTTAATGGGAATCATGTTGCGTTTACTAATACATATCTAAAAAACCATTCCTCTCCATAAGTTGTTGATTCTTTAAATTACATGGTCATTCCATTGCCAGTTCAGCTTGCTGATCCTGTGGGTATTTTGCCACTTTGATATACCTATTCTACAGATTCATATGTTCTTTACAGATCCTCACCATATCTTAAGGATTGACTTGATGCTTCTATATAGAGCTTATAGTCTAAAATTATATTTTGTAGCAAAGAATTTCTCTGCAATTTGAATGAATAGCAATAGCCCTGTTTTACGTTTATTTATAGGAAACTGAATATTAAATGAATAACAAATAGGAAAATCGTTTCTTCATTGAATAGCTAGAAGCCATTTTAGAATCCCTGATATTATACAACAGATACTGTACAAATAGTTAATCTAGCTAAATAACAGACTAGCTACAATAACAGCTTATCGTAACAATTTAACACTTCATCTATGTATCTCTCTCAGACATCGATTCATTAACATTTATTTTTCGATATTTTTAGCTATCATTTATTTATATTATATAAGCTCATAATAAAATTGATCAACTTGATTATATGAATGATTTAAAACAACTGCTCAAACTTGTTATATTCACTGAGGAGTTAGTCTTCCACCTTACAAGTAACAGAATATTCCACGGTAGCATTTATCTAGGATCTGAGGGCCTACCATGAAATGTTTTCCGAAATTTCGGAGCCGAACGAAACACAAGTTTGATGTTAAAATTACATAATACTTACCGTTTAAAAATATTAAAAATACTAAAATATTATTCCTTTGGACTCAAACACGAAATTGTATCCGAAACTTCGGAATTTCATTTCATGGTAGGCCCCATGATCTATCTGTGTATCAAATTTCATTGAAATCCATTCAGCCGTTTCAGCATGATTGAATAACAAACGTCTAATGATTTTTATAAAATTTTACAATTGAATATTATTCAGTAAAATTGGATTATACATTTAGAAAATTTACTATAGAAGGCGTCATCAGTAGATTTCGATCGTAAACTAAAAGAGCAAACGCAGCCAAGAGGAAAAGAGAGACAACATAATAAAAGTGAGGTAGCGTCCACTTGTTAGTTAACTAATCCTGTAACGTTGGTTCAATAAAGTGTTAAATAAATAAATAGTTGATCCCATTTCGTCAGCTTTAAAAGTCATTCCACAGCATAGAACAATAGATTAATTTCTGCATAAAAAATTATCATTCTCACTATATCAGCCGTTATTTGTTCACTGTAGAATACAGGTATCTTCCATAGACTGCCTTAAGGAACGGTCCTGAGCCATCTGCATCAACTGACTCCCTGTACAAATCTGCGGTTGTCATTTCACCTAGTGGGGGATCATCATACACTGCGTTTGATTATACGGGATCGCATTCAAGAACCTTTCTTCCCAATTGGTAGTCAGTTCTTCGAGCTATGCAACCAGCTCATTGCCACTTCAGCTTGCTTATCCTTAGGGCTATGTCGGTCACTTTAATTTTTTTTGCGAATATTTTCATTTCGGATTCTGTCACGCAAAGAAACTCCGAGTTTAGCCCTCTCCATAAGTCACTGATTAACTTAAAACTTTTGCATACGGGCTACCGTGTAAGACTATAAAAATTATATAACGTACCCAAAAGTCCAATATAACTTATACATTACGTATATAAATAAAAATTCTACTACCTTTTTCTTATATTATATAATAACTTTCTCATGTTTTACCAGGTTTTACATATTATTTTAACACTAAAAATGATTTATACCGCAAATACCTGATAATGTTAAATCTGAAACGCTAAACGTTGTTAAAAATCTCAAAAGTGATAGTCGTTTATAATCAAGCTTTAATAAACGTATTTGTGCGTTTATTTACGATATGTCCCAAATATTAAAAAAAAAATAAGTACTAAGATTTACATTTTTAATTCGATATACGAATTGATGGAGTTTCTACAAATATAAAATATGTACATAATATCAGATGGTCCAAAGGCGATATTTTTTTGCAGGCGTCATAAACAATTCATCCTGATTGACTGAAGTCGTACAGTTGACATCACGTTCCATCAGTTTTACTTATTGGTTTGCGAAACCTATCATGTTAAAAATAACGATTTCAAAACAAAACTAAAAGTCTACGAACCTACGAATAAAATTTAAAAAAAAAGAAAAAATTTTGTGAAATGTTATTTCAGAGACCGTTCATTAGAAAAATTAATTGAAGACCCAGATACTCGAATCTGGAGGAATCCTATTGATTATCCTTTGCCAGAGATGATGTTGATAATTTATGGGGACAATAGAGCACCTAATTAATGATATCAATAACCCGATAGGTGGGGGGAATGGGATTGTTAGTAATGGGGTCTGATTTCCCTATAACTAGCAATACACCTTATCAGGTCGAACTCCACGCGATTCCCCTTGGAAACTATCGTGATTAATTCTAGTGGAATTGGTCACGATTGGCTAACTGACCTGCTTTTTCATCGTCACCTATCATCCGTCACTGGTGCCCCGCCAGCGTATACCGATAGCGCAGGCGGGGCTACCATTCCATTATCACACATTAAAAAAAAGAATAACCCGATAGCTGGCAGCTACTTCACGCCGAATATAACCACAGCTATCCAGAGTTGCATGCAGCACGATGAAAGATTGTAATTTGTAATAATATTATTAATTGTATTTGTTATTTATTTAAACAAAATATTTCAATATTTAATATTCTTTTCCTGATTATTAAGGTACTTACACATGTCCAGTACATTTTAATCAAACACTAGTAATTTCATTTGCGATTTGTGAGTCGATTTAAATTTTCATCTACTTAGCAACTCTTTGAATAAAAGCACTATATAAAATTCAGTATACGAGTACGTTGCTTGCTCAGAGATCTTGTCTGTCAATCCTGATATACCGAATGTATAGATAGACTATATTTAGTACTTGATTCTGTGTAATATAAATCCTGTTTTGGGACAAAACAAACGACAAAGATAACTTTTTTAAATATCAAAATTTTTAACCAAACAAATAAAAAAAAAATAATGAACTATTTTTTTTATTTATAAACAATTTATGTCCCTAGAGATCCATTAAGTCCTCATACAATAAAAGTCAATTCTATCAATCTTCCCTGCCTCTACTCAAACTAAATCTACGATGAAATTTGAATGTTTTCTTCTTTTCCTGTTTATCTTCTAGGGGTTTACCGTCAACAAGATTATCAGCACTCTTGGCAACTTGTACGCTTTTTCTTCTATTTTTCATAGACTTAACGAGCTTATAGAACTTTCCCTTCTTTTTTGTAGGGTCTTGGGTTAAATCTGGAACTTCCTCTTCTACTTCTACGCTGAATTCTGATGATATGTCTCCTAGGTCTTCAACACTGTGACTTTCTATTTCTCTAGTTTGGGGCACCACTAGTTTTGTTTTAGAAGTGTCAGGTTTCGGCTCTTCTGGAGGAGGTGGTGCATCAGGATCTATGCACTGAAAATTAAAGTTTTAAATTAATTGTCAGGAATGACACAAATAAAAATAAATATTAGAGTTAATTTATTTATTAACTATGTTTCAAAAATCTTATTCTACTTGTTATATTAAAAACAAATATAGGTTGCAGGTTTCTATATCTTTCTAAATTATATTTATTATATATTTAATATTATACTTTTTCGTTTATACACGTAATTCCGACCTAACTTTGTTTTTTATAATAGTTTAAATATGGGAATACTAGTTGTTATACTGTAAAACATTTAACAAATAACACGATAAATAAATATTGATAGAAATTACGATGGAACTTTCGTTTGAAGTTCTCAAACGATGAGTTTGGGAATGTTCAAAAGTTTACAAAGAATTCGTTACTCTGTTAATGTAATTGGATTCTCTGGAATATAAAGGGTTAGAAGTGCTCGAGAAAAACCTTTCGCCTAAAGAAAATGTTTATACATAAAATATATACAAACAGCACAAACAGGCTTTTGAAGAAAATATAATGAATAACGCTACGTACCAACGCATTCATTAAAATACATTTCATAAATATGAAGGTCATTACCTATTTCCCTGAAAGAGCAATCATACGTGTCTGTCAACTTTTGCTGTGAACAAAACGGCACTTTGATTTAGGAGACGCGCCTATCAGCTATCCAAGTTACAATCTAGACAAAACGCTTGTCACAAATGACAAACGGAGAGTCACAGGCGTTCGGTAAAATAAATTATTGTCATTCGTACGTACGCTAGAAAGATGATGTCTAAGTACGTCGTGTGAGAAATATTCTTGAAGAGATTTAATACTCATATAAATTTATTAGATGTCGGCATTGTTCAAAGTACTTCGCATACTCCAAACTCTGAGATGAACTCAAGAGGCACTGTTATGTCTGAGTAGCAATAATTAGTGAAATTTTTGTTCTTAATGCCTCAAATTATACATATTTATTCGTATTGCTAGTTTAGTATTGTAGTTGACCAATGTAACTGTCGCGTCTTAAGACAAAAATCCTTAAAACAAACGAGATTAAAAAATACAGCAACTTTCAACTTTTTTTTTTCATTTTATGAAATCCCATACCAATTAATGATAATAAATTAGGTATAGGATATTGCGATTCAAAACTATTCGCGAGTAAGTTCGCGGGAATGTAAATTGTTTCTATAAATTCCCCTGGAAAATATGGCAGAGTTGTCTCGCGAGAGGGCTTATATGTAACGCTCTTATGTTCCTTTGGACTTGTTAATGAATGCCAATGACACGGAAACCACTTTAGGAATCGCTGATCCAGAAAATGGATAATCACAGAAATACATATAATATTATAGTTTGTACTGTGTGGCTCCTTTTATCCTACATACATTTGCGAACTTTGTTCTTAATAGACGATGTAATTGGGTAACTATTACATAATTTGTATTTATATTTACAATATTAGCATTAGGGAGAGGAGGGATTATTAGGTACTAGATATATTTTTTAATAGATGAGAATGGAATGGTATATCTCTCACTGGTGCCCCATCAGCGATATCAGTATACACTGGCTAAATAATATGTGAGAATGAAAACAAATCAATTAGGCAATCATGATGAATTCGACCTATTAGGCAAAGGCTGTTGCTATATTGCTAGCAATGTGGCTGTTAAATCCCAATAAAAATCCTTAAATAGCTTAATAGTCTTATAGCTTAGTAGTATTAATAGCTTAATAGTCTTATTGCTATCGTTTCTGGAAATTATCACAGTTAATTCCTTTTTTTTACAACGCAAGGGGCAAACTAGCATGCGGCTCACCTGATGGTAAGTAACCCATCCATGATAATTCCTGCTGAAATTATCATGGATGGGTCAACTGACTTGCTTTCAACTTCACCTACCATTGCTCACTGGTGGCCCGCCAGCATATACTGATAGTGTAGATAGAATTACCAGTTCATTATTACCGATAAAAAAAAAACACTACAGTTAAAAAACTAGTAAAGTCTTAACATAGAAGGTTTGTATAATTCACCGTAATTTTTTGGTTTTCCTTCAACGATATTTTCATGCCGTGCACGTTTGCGATTTAGTTGCGGAAAGTTAAAAGCTTATCTTGTTGTTCTTTAATCAAATCTTAGTTTTATAAATATCGTACTAGCTCCGCGCCCAGGCTTCGTACAGTTTTTTATTTAAATAAAACACAACTTAAGTTCTATAGGTGAAAGAATATTTACAATCAGTTGTTTGTTTTTATTCATTACAAATAAACAAGCAAATGTTTTCTTTTTTGCTTGTTTATTCATTACAAATAAACAAGAAAATGTACATCACAGATTTGCTCGCTTTAAATAGAATGAATCGTATTTTATATATTAATTGATATAACTGATAGTTGATATTTGATAAATAAATATCGTATTAAATTTATGACGAAATCTGTCAATTTAAATAGTAATAATAATTAATAAAAAAGAAATAGAATAATTTTCTGCATAGATTAATAGCAGTATTTATACCTAGGTTTTCTGATGGAAAATATTACAAAACTACGAATAAATCCTATTAATATGATCAATCATTCATACAGTTGTTCTTACAATAAAATATTATAATGTTTTCTTACATCGGCAAGTGAAATCCTGTATGAGGGTACTTGCTCGGGGTGTCTCCAGGGTTTGTGGTAGGGTAGATCTGTCAGCGCCTTCCAGCCAGGGTACCGCCGGGCTGCAGCATGGAGCTGGTGCACTAGACGCGGAGCCAACTGAGCTGTCACCCTAGTCATGTTGAGAACATATGAAAAGAACAAATAAATAGGATCTTAATAGGTTTTTCATCATCATATCAGTCGTTAGCTATACATAGGCCTCTGTCTTGGAGGATTTTGCCAGTAGTTGCTACGTTTGGCAAATGGGATGGCAACCGTAGTTAGGCATTGGTTATGTTTTAAGAGGGATGCTGCTGCCAATCCCTCAACCATTAAATTCTCTAAGTCGCCTCTGACGATACCCACAGGAAAGAAAGAAGTGGCCCATTCCATACTGGGACCAAACGACATGCCGTAATATGATGAATGGGTTATTACGGATAGATGACTTGTTACCAGTACATATGTATATATGTGTACATATATACATACATATGTACAAAAAAATTGAGAATTTTCCACTTGCTACCAGGTGATCGAGTTACTCAAATTATTTGACATACTAAATTTAATAAAAAAATATACTAGAATATTACTAGAAATCATTTAAATACATTTATAACTAGCGGCTCGTCCCGGCTTCGCACAGGTGAACATTTTTACATTTTAAAAAGTGGTCATTAAAGCTGCACACGCGACGGAAGCTTAAAAATGGAGTAACTTTTCCCGTTTCCCAAACATTTCCCTTCACTGCTCTGCTCCTATTGATCGAAGCGCGATGAAAACTATAGTATAACCTGCCCAGGAGAATGAAGAATAATTGTACCAAGTTTCGTTAAAATCCGTCTAGTAGTTTTTGTTTTTATAACGAAGATACAGACAGACGGACAAAAATTTTACTAATTGCATTTTTGGCATCAGTATCGATCACTAATCACCCCCTGATAGTTATTTTGGAAATATATTTCATGTACAGAATTGACCTCTCTACAAATTTACGTGTTATAAGTATAGTTTTTTTTAATTATGTTCTTTTTTACCAATTTACACAGATATGAAGTTATTATGATATAAAATAACCGATCGAACACCATACGATAACGCGTCAAAATAATTAGCTACCGCCGAGTGAGCGTGTCTGAAACTATTAAGCTAACTCCAATACAATGTTGATATACAAAACTAACATGTTGTTTAATACGTTATGTTTATAACCAAGAGTTACGTTTTATTACATAATACACGTCGCGCATTAACTAAACGACATTATAGGTCGCTAATTGCCTTAAATTTATTTCTATTCTATACTCGGAGTTTGCGTGACAGATATGTTAGCCAATCAACCTTTGAATGGACTGCCTATTGATATCAGAAAGTCCCTTTGTGAACGTTACTTAAAAATATCGCAACAATGAATAGCTTCAATCTGTACTACAATATAACTTATTCGATGTTCCATTAAGAAGAACAGAGTTGGCTAAGCAAGCTTCCCTATCTCTTGCATTGAAACTACTCAATGATATTTTGAGCCAGTATCCGCAATTGGATGTATTTGCCTACAACTTGCTGGAGTTTCGTCGAGTGACCACAGAGTATTTGTGTTCAGATGTTTTTTGTTTGATTTAAATCTTTTTATATTAAATTTGTTATTTTTATGTAATATTTCTTTTATATGTTATTATACTAATGCTTTCCTGGGTGAGCGTATTGGAAGACTGTAAGGCTCACGCAGTGGATGTAATAAATAAATAAATAATTAGTCTTGACTTATATAATTATTATATTAATATGTATTATGTATAATTATTTATATATGTATTGTATTGGATGTGATTTACGTATGTATAATTTTTGTAAGTGTATTATTTTATATGTTTGAATGTTATTAAAATGTATTAATATTGTTGTCTTGTAAATTATTTATTTCATTTATAAATTGTTTTGTTAAATCAATGCACCCTCATTTACTCTTACTGTTTAGCGTAACGGTTGACTGGTAGAGAATGCCATCAGGCATTAAGTCTGCCCTGTAGACATATTTTAATGTGTACAAAATTATAAATAAATAAATAGAATTCAAAACGGGGACATCTGCAAAAGAACCAAAGTAACCGCCATAGCCTGAAGGATATGCAAGCTGAAGTGGCAATGGGCTGGTCACATAGCTCGAAGAACCGATAACCGATGTAGAAGAAAATTCTTGAGTGGCAAACCCGTACGGACCAACGCAGTGTAGAGCTACCCCCACTAGATGGAATGACGACCTCAAATACATTGCAGGAAGTCAGTGGATGCAGATGACTCAGGATTGTTCTTATCATATCAACTGTTAACTTCATTTTGGAAAATAACACTTGTTCATTGTGGAAAATATGCCTCCCCAATAGACTGCTATAAGGAAGGAACCGATATCATTAAAAGTCGTGGATTCATCTCCTCCCCGCTCCATCTAGTGGAAGGGGAGGGGGTCGTTCTACACTGCATCTGCCTGTGCGGGGTCACCACTCTAAAACTTTTCTTCTCCAAAGATGGGATACAAACAGAAAGATTACTGGATGTCTCGGTACACTATGTGTCAATGGTGCTGTTGATGTATATAGGCGACACTTAGTATTATAATCGTTTAAAAAATTCCTCACCTGTTAACCAACCATGCTGGCAACGCCCCCCGTGGGTCCGACCGAGAGACATAGCCCAGCCAGCTCCCACCGCTGGCCCGTGTACGCACCACGAAACCAGTTAAAAGAGACAATGCCCTGTCGACATATTAAACAAAATTATATAACACAATCGGTATAAAAATCCGAAGGTTCGAGAAACTCAACCTTCTTTTTGAACAACTTACGGTAGATTTAAAAAAAATATAATTTAAAAATGCTTGTAAACCTAAGTTCTAAACAAGCATATTTAAATTAAAAATATTTGAATTTAAATTTGGAACAACGTATATTCTCATTCCGGAGGACTAGGATATTACACCTCTCAAGACTCTGTTATTTCGTTGCTATAACCTAGTCTTTAAAGTATAAAAATATTGGTTTAGGTAAGTATTAATTCGATACCTACACGTTGAAACTGAAATCGTTAGCATTCTTTTAAAGCGAAGCACTAATAGTACATCTTTACGAGTAGGTACATAGCGTAAAACAAAGTCGCTTCCCGCCATCTGAATGTTTCAATCTTTTAAAGTACGCAACGGACTTTAATGCGATTTTCATCAATAGGTACAGTGATTCAAGGTTTACACGTATTGTAAAACTATAGCACTTAGATCTAACTTTAAATCTGGAGTATGTTTCACTCTACGATATACATTATCTAGAAGTTGTTCATTTCATTGGTTTTCCTTCTTTAAAAATCCACAAGCACAAAGTAACGGGCAAAACCTAGTGCCATACATACGTCTTGTAGTCTCATAATATCTATCTTATTACTTTATAAACAAAATTGACTTCCTATTAAATGACATCAACTTTTTCTTTGTAGATATAAGCTAGAAGGAATATTACTAATAACGGTCCAAGTAATCTTGGAAATTCTGTGCACTGATGTTACCTGACAAGACTAATAAATTGTTAATTCGAGTGTATTTTTTTTATTATTATTTCACGACATGTGACACGACTACACCATACTGAGCGAAAGCTAAGACAACTGATTTAAAGATTAAATTAATTGATTTTCTAAATTGTACTTACGACAATAAAATACCGCAAACCATTATGTATCTTCTTACAAAATGTACTAAATTTAACAACAAAAGATTTAATTGTGAATTTAGTATATAAATTCACAGTTAAATCTTTTGTTGGAAGTTAATAAGCAGCAGATTGTATTTAATTCAATTCGCTAGAACGATATTTAAAGTAATAGGAAGGGAGAACGGCTCAAAATACTTGGACTAAGTAAGTGACATTGCAGACTTAACAATATGTATGTATGTATGTATATGTATATATATATACATATACATATACATATATATATATATATATATATATATATATATATATATATATATATATATATATATATATATATATATATATATATATATAAAGTATGAATGTGTGTATATATTATTTCTTAAGAAAGTTATGAATTCACAGATATAATAAACATAGAAATTATTACCATGGTCCATGCTTACTAAAAGAGGATGAAAGTATGTTATAAAATCTGTATACCACAATTCATTAGTTACTTACTCGGTTATGAAATATTAACAATTTCCTTACATAATACTTGGGTGTAAGTTGCTTAGTTACAAATTACTTTGCGATAAAAAACGCATAGTAAACCTAATTTCCTTTATATTGTTCCTCAAATACTCATTTGAATTAGTCGAAGTCCCAAGACCATCTATCATCCTTTGTGTGACCTGGCAGAAAACCCTTGTCCGCTTATCCGTGGCAGTGAGATGTTGTTTTCAGTCTTTAAACCGATTTCAAAGACTTATTACATTTAATTATTAAACAGATTTTTTTTTTTATTTAAATAAATAGAATAATATCTGTCACACGTGCCTATATTTCCATATTTTTTTTAAGTAAATAATCTTCATACCTGTTATTAAAGATAATCATTTAAACATAAACAGACAATGTTATTTATATTTTCTATTGACAAAATCAATTAATAAAAAACCTTTCTTTGTTTCAGCTATTTTACTTTAAGATCACGTCACAAAATCCGATTTCGGAAAAAATGTTTTCTTCAAACGCTATTTTATTACGTACCTAATCTGTTGTGAATCTATTGTTTTAAATGGAAAAAAAAATATTTGAAAAGACTTACTTCCAAGTATTTTAAAATAAAATACGATACGAAGGATTTGGAAGAAACGGGATTCTTTTAATATCACACTAAATTGAAGATATCTGATCAGGAATAAACGAGATCTGAGAGATCAGTATCTGCCTTTTCATTCTAATATCATTATAAAGTCGTCACTTAGTAAGTTGTTCTACACAAAGCTTTCTTGAAAACACTGAATACTTTGTATTATTTCTTAATAATTGTATATATGTTAAGATACGTTGATAATTTCAATTCAATACATTTTAGCGGTTTAAGTAAAAAAATATTTAAAACTTTATGATTCAATAACAAACATTCACACACTTTTACACCTCTCTCTCTCTCTCTTAAGTCGTACACTCTCGACAGAGTGGTCATGGTTTTTATGATGATTCATTATCTTAATCTCCTTCGCGATTGATGTCTTCGCAATGCGTCTCCATCTTCTTCTGCTCACAGCCGAGTGAGAGCATTCCACAATAGGCTGCTGTGTAGCCGTTTTGATGGGATCAGTCCATCGCGTTGGTGATCTACCCCGAGAAAATTTGCCTTGTACCGATTCTTGGACACACCTCTTGTGAGATCAAAAATATGTTACGATGGATTTAGAACAAAAGAAAAACAAAAGAACACCAGAGGGAGACTTTGTACAAAAGTCGATTGCTTGGGTACCTCTGTCCCATTCGTGTTTCAACCGTGAAGCAGTTGTGTTTGCATGGCTGTGTTTCGGTTTGAAGGGATATAGCGTGAATTTACTGGGTACAGAGGAATAATATCTTAGTACTCAGGAATGGCAACGCATGGGGGGTATCATGGGCGAAACAATATACTCTATTATGTCCATGGTACTGCTCATGTCTATAGGCGACAGTTACCACTTTCCATCAGGTGGGCCGTAAGCTTGTTTGCCACTCTAAGTTGTATAAAAAAAAATTGAGAATACAGATCAAAACCTAGAATATAAATCCAAGAAGATTTTCACTAAAATAACTTACAAAATTGTTCACGATTTGTTAGCATATAGTAAGTACATGATATAAATTGTATTTTTGTTGTTTCAATTTACTGTATAACTGAAGAGGTTAATAAATTAATATAGAATTATTTTGTATCGATTATATGCATTTGATATTTGCTTGTTGTATGTTATTGTACGAGTATCAGCCGTTAACTGTCCATTGCTGAACAAAGCCTCCCCCATAAGGGTGGTTTGGCCAGTAGTTGCCATGCTTGGCAGGCGGGTTGGCAACCGCATTTTGGCTTTTGACTAATGTTTTAAGAGGGACGCTGCTGCCAATCCCTCCACCATAAGTTCTCTATAGTTGCCTCTTACGACACTCACGGGAAAGGAAGAGATGGCCTATTCTATGCCAGGACCTAAACAGACAAGGGTTAAATATTTACTAATTGACCGCACATTAATTACTTAGATTCATCTCCAAAGTATTTTATATTCATGATTTTTCTCAAGCCCAATGCCTTTGTGTTCAAAAAATTAATATTCGTATATCATAAGAAATTCCATGAATTGTCTTGTTTGCTCCAATTTTTGTATGTAGGTCAACAATCAAACCTTTTCGGGAAGTTTGGTTACTATGATCCGTTTTAATTTAAATTAATGAATAGGGTTCTTCAAAAAGGGTATATTAAGATTTCTTCAACGCGCATGTGGCACCCCTATTGTTGCAAGCGTCCATAAGCTACAGTAACCGTTTACCATTAAACGAGCTGTATGCTTGTCACATTTGTGATATAAAAAAAATACGTAAACAAACTTTAAATTAACCCGATCATAAGACACTGTCTACTGATATCCAATTGATTTGCTCAATAAATCGAAATTTATACTTAAACGCGTCAACAATTTTCATTGAAACATCAACCACTTTATAGCATTTCAATTAAATTCTTTACTCGTTATAGAGAGCGCTGTAAAAACTGATAGATAAAGACAACGGTAGATTGCAGTTGTAAATTGCATAGGACTAGGCCGATATTGGCCGGCACTTTATTATACTGTCTTCAACTTATTGTATTTTTATACTTCTTTATTTACTTATGAAAGTTAAAAACTCTGAACTAAATTATTAATCAGAGGGAGACTTTGTACAAAAGTCCTTTTCTTGAGTACCTCTGTCCCATTCGTGTTTCAATACTTGTGTTTGCATGGCTGTGTTTTGGTTTGAAGCACCCTTCATATTCCACTTGATGTAGCAATGAAATTATAGGGTACAGAGGCATAATACCTTAGTCTTTAATCATTATAAATAATTTTTATTTATGAATGCAATATATACCATATTCCATAATTTCTAATACACATTTTTAATTTAAACATAATTCTCTTTCGTTTTAAATATCTTATCTACTTAAGCCCTTATCTACCTGTAAACTCTGAGACTGTAAGCTATTTATCGCGGTATGCGAGGCGCCAAATTCTAAAGGAAAGCACTTTTCCGGCCTAAGACGATTAGCTTATCTCCTCCGCTGTAAACGCAACAAGCTCTAAGATTAATAACGTTCCGCGGACGTCATAAGACTCCACTTGACACAAATAAGCGAGATGTGGTTAGTAAAAGATAAAATGGTATGTCAGTTTTTGCTCGATACTGTGGGTTCCGGAGATAAGGGAATATCTACCTGTTACTTTGTTTCCTATATATTATTGTATTGTATTGTAAAATGTTTATTGAACATAATTCATACTGAATACATTACAAGATTTAATATACAATGGCGAACTTATCCCATAAAGGGATCTCTTACAGTCAATTTTTATCGAAATAAACAAAAGCGATTTTTTATCTTGATTAAATAATGATAAAGTTACGTGTACACTCAGTAAAATTATCCCATAAAAAAAAAATAAGTTCTATCATTAAAAGTTTATAATTACAACTTCAGTCATGGTAAAACATGGGGCCAACAAAATAAAACCGGGAGATTGTAAATAATGGGGTCTAACAACCCCCGATTCGTCAAGGTGAGGCAATTGACCCGTTTTCATCCTCACCTATCGTCTCTCACTGAAGCCCTCCAACGACGCAGACGGGGTTACCATTACATTCTTGCCCATAAAAAAAGTGGTAAAACTCACTGGTTTGCAAAAATAATTAATTCGTTTAAAATTAACTAAAATGTAACGTAACATAAAGAGCATTAAATTAAAAATCCTTTTTGAAGTTGCTTAAAAAATAAAAGACAAAACGCTCCCTTAACACCTGTTACATGTACTTTAAGGGCGGATGTACACAATAGTGTCGCTCTTGGTCCGCTATCGCTGCGCTCTTGGTCTGGTAAAATATTATTCCGTAAGAAACAATGGGTCAATTTCGAGGTGCCACTTTGGTCTCTTAACTGAAGAGAGTATTTGATAATTTTGTGAAATTACTGGTTTATTGGCAACCATTAATTAAATAAAAAAAATGACTTAAATCTATTAGAAAATTATTTCATATATTCGTCCTTGTAATAAAAATTCCGCTGTAATATCAAATTATATTTTAAATTTAAAGATAGAGAAATGGCGTCTCCGAATAGACGCTAACGTGTGTATTCCCGTTACAATCCAGTGACCATGAAATGAGATACCGCATTTTCAAACTAAATTTCGTGTCTTTGTTCATACCGAAATCAGTCCAGTAAATTAAGCTTAACATTTTGTTCGTCATAAATTCTACGATAAAAATACAAAGAAAATATATTTTTATATTTTTAAACGGTATGTATTATGTAACTTTAACATCAAATTTATGTTTCGTTTGGCTCCAAAATTTCCAACACTTCATGGTTGACCCTTAGTTCTGTTTCGGTAAATCTTGAACTTCTTGTACTGCCCATACCGAGAATGGCACTATAATGGGGATCTGGCCTAAATACTATGTGTTAAATACCTAAGAAAACTCTTGAAATTCAGTTCCAGAAGAATAAAATACAAAATAATAAAAAAAAAGATTATAGCAATTGTTTGTATTAAATTTTGAAATAAGATCAAAAGCTCTAATGAAAGCAATTTTTTAACCTTACATAATGTTTAATCATCTTGTGGATACAGCCATCTAATCTCGATATTGTTTAAAACAATCTCGAAACAATATTTACCGTAATACTCAGCTCGTTTCTTATCCAAAATCGGGCTCGTACGGAAATGAGATTTTTTGCTATGTATCATAGTGACTGCGAATAAAAAATGAAATGATAAAACAAAGTATTATATGTCGAAGAATAAGTTTGGTGCTCGAAATAATTTCTCCAAATTTTGCCTTGTAATAAAGATGATATTAAGTATTCAATAACGTAATTTAGAAACAAGTGACATTGCACGAAGAAAAAAAAAACATTGCTACCATAGAGGTAGTAGTGATTTTTTTTCGTTGAGCAATTAAAAATTTATAAAGAATAAACACGGGACATTTAATCGATGAATGAGTATATATTTTTTTTTTATTTTAAGGGCTTTTACCTTCTTCAGGTATATCAGCTCTATCGTATCCTGACCTGATTTCTCAATAAATGTTTTATTTACTTTCTCTAGACACGCAAAGAGATGGATTAATGGGTATCAATAATTTTCTGAGACATTATACAATATAGGAAATAACCAAGACAATAAATATAAGGATACAGTTGTATAAGTACATTAAGGCGATCTTGTTGCTGAAAGCACTCTTTTCAAGACAACAGTGTAGTCAATCCTCAATATTAAAAAGCATCATCACATTGGTTTATAAAGATATCGGCTAACATATACACGTAAAACATATACCTACGGTAGATAAGATAATAAAGTATTAAGCGAACAAACTCAAAAACTCTCCTTGTCTCTCCAAATTAAAAAGTAGAAATGTATCATGTAACATTTCCACAATATCTTTATTGTTTCCCCATTCATTAAACATCAACCCATTACACTACACTATACTATTATTTACAATCACAAATCGTGTGAGGGAGGCGTTTTCTGATATCAAGTGTTTTAAAATCACTTTAGTTTATACACGAAGACCGTTTATACACGAAGGCATCTAACGTGGTTTGTCAGATGACGACTTTACATAGCAACAGGTACTCTGAAGCCCGAAGCAATTGATATAATCAAATTCAAATGAAATATTTTTTATTAAAATAGACTTACAAGTTCTTTTAGTTTTAAGAAGAATTCGTAAGAAAGTTAACTGTTCAACAATTTCTCGATTAGCATTATGTATATTTATTTAAATATACTATGTAGAGTCAGGAGCGCCCTTCTTTAGAAATCTGTCTGACTGTCCAATAATACGGATATGCGACGGCCTCCCGAACCGGTGCAGTGTCCTAGTCGTTTCCGCAACTGCAGTGTTCCCCGCTTTCCTTTCCCACATAAGTCCCTTATTTCTCTTATTTACCAATTTCCTTTACGCATTTCCAACGTTTCCTTCCTTTTTTCTTTCATATCGTAGGTGACGGAAACCACCAACAAATGCATTCCCAGAGAGGGTTTTTTGATGGGTGAAAATGATATGGTAACCCCGCCTGCGCTAACGGGATACGCTGGCGGAGCACCAGTGAAGGGTGATAGATGAGAATGAAAACAGGCCAGTTAGCCCATCATGATGAATTCATCAGGAATTAACCATGATAGTTTCCAGGGAGAACCGCGAGGAGGTTGACCTGGTTGGGTATTCCCAGAGAGGGTTGATGTCAAGCACGTGGCCGGTCGTAAAACTATAAGCCAAATCTCTTTGTAATATGGATAAAAACATATTACGTCGACTCCAAATAATAATTAGAATAACGGTAGGAAGATGATAATGATTTAAACATACTATGTATAAAATTCATTCATCGTTAAAAAGTTCGTGCATTAACGACTAACACCCTTATGAAACTAATTTGAAATACGATAATTCGATCTTAGAAACCAAAGCCCGCAGTCAAGCTGAGCTGTTTACGCTTTACGCGGATAATCCAAACATACCACACCCAAAAAATATTACTTAACAAAACAAATAAAGCTTATTTGTTTGATATCCGAGTAAAAAGACTTCCATCTCCTGACCAGTGAACCCTAAAAGTTGAGTAGTGATGGCACGAGCGAAGGCCGTCACGGGTTGACGCGCGTAACACTGTTATCTAATCATAAAGTGGTCAGCAAACAGGGGGACGCTACACCATACACCTACGTGTGTCATTTCTCACTAAAGAATTAGCTTTGATTCAATTTATTCCTGAAAATCTATTTGTAGCTGTGCCATGCCAGGTGCTAAAAATAAATTTAACTTTACGTCAAGTTTCTTACGGATGGTAAACGAAATGAAAAGGAATGCAATGAGCATGCACCTCAGAGAGAAAGAGATTTTTTTTGTAATGGGATCTAGCGCCCCAATGCCAGTGTCGTATCCTGTCAGGTCGACTTCCACGTGGCTCCCCTTGGAAATCGTAGTTTCTAATTCATGACGTGACTTCATCGTCACTTTAGAAGTATCATAAAACAGCCTGGATAAAATTCTTACAAAACAAAGAATTTTACATAATAGGCTATGATACTTTTCTAATCTTTGTACTTTTCATATACAAACGACCTCATTAGTAATTAGTATATTACTAAAAATATATAACCTTACTAATATATATAAATATTTTTTACTTCGACTCACCTAGCTACTTGGTAAGCGTGGATTTCAGTACTAGGAAAATCAATGAAATAGGTCACTTCTAGATGGTGTATCAAAATAATTGTATCGTTGTATTGACAACCAATTTTTAAGTTAAATTTTCAAGAATGGAACTGTAAAAACCGCATTCAATTTCATGCAGTACTTTTTGCTAAAGCCGGAAAAAACATGCTGACAGATAAAATATCTAAAAAATATTATTTTGGCCTCTATAGCTTTTATAAAGACTCTTTAAATAATTTTTTTCTTAATATTCCGCTGTACAGACATTGTTTAGTTACAATTTTATTATATTAGTAAGAAAAGATAAGATATCCCGGATTTAATTCCTGGTCGGACCGATTTGTGCATCTAGATGTTTTTGCCTGGTTCCTCATAATACAGGTAGCTTGAGAATCAGCCCAATGATCTGATTATTATTATACATATATACTTATATACTATATACATATATACAATATATATTTAAACTTCCAACAAAAAGTTTACCTGACGAACCCCTTCCTCGGCGGAAAGTCTTTGTGGTAGACCGAGTGATTTAGGATCATCTTCTCGTCTCCTGTGTCCAACCACGAGCGTTGCAGTACGAAATCACGGTTCTTGAGAGGCGCTGGGCACGACACTGTCAAAAGAAAATATTTTCTGTAAATAAATAAATATGGCAACATTAACGTGACGACACCGGAAAAGTTGTGTAGAATTATACTGCCGAGCAACCGATATTTTCCTTTGAGATAACGAGCAAGATTTAGGATATAAGGAATCACACACGCACACTACACCGCTGTACACAGTCCCAACATGCGGTGTGAATGTTGGTGTCTAACAGTTTCTTCCACCTCAGACTTACACTTAACAAAAACAACTGAGGTGATTTTTTGGGAATACAAATTAATGGCATTTCAATTAATTTCAATAAATAGGGAAAATAGCTTTGAGATACGAGCAAGGTTAAGTAAGGAATTAAATTCGTAAATCGAAGTGCCATGGGGAAAATAGATAAAACTTTGAGATACGAGTTACCACTTTCCATCAGTCAGCTTGTTTGCCATTCTAAGTTGTATAAAAAAAGTCTGATAGAGATCTGTAGAAAACGAAGACACACTGCAATGACTACAAATCAATAAACATTGTTAACATAATTAGGATGTAGCTGCAAATGGCGGATTTGCCTGCGTACCTATACGGATAAAAATACTAGTATATATATAATATAGCTAAAAGTAGTAAGTTAGTATGATATATGCCTATGTAGTAAATTTTTAATAATAATTAATCATTTTGCTTAATTGATAACAGACAACATTACAAAGTATTTAGGTTTATAACTACTGTTGAGTTCAATACATTCAATCATTCTTTATAAGTCTTTAGTCAAACGAGAGACTAACTTATGCATATTAATTTAAATAATATCAACCGTTTATAATGGAAAAACTCGGGGGAAAAGGGATTGTTAGTAATGGGGACTTTAATATCTATTGCTAGCAATATACCCTTTTAGGTCGACCTCTACGCGGTTTTCCCTAGAAACCATCGTGATTAATTATTGTCAAATTAGTCGCGTTAGGCCAACGAATCTGACTTCATCCTCACCTATCATCTCTCACTGGTACCCCACCAGTTTATATCTATAGCGCGGAGTACCATTGCATTAAGGTCCATTAAAAAAAATAGAACACTCAAAAACTACTCAATTGATTTTAAAAATACATTCATATAAATACAAATGCATTTACTAATACAAAGCTACATTATCAACGACTAACATAGGCTTTTATTATTTGAGAATATAGAATCTACCCGTGCGAAGCCGGATCTATTTAATTATTCAAACTAAATTGTATGAATACATACATAATTAATAATAATAATACATAATTAATCAGTCCAAATGAAACACCAAATCAATAGTTAAAATTTTACCGATTTGTTGTTTCCTCCTTATAATATGTTATTGTAACAACTATATTTTGCATCGCAAATTAAAAAAAATCTCTATTGCACTGCTAATAACGAATTAATTAAAAAAAAAAAAAATTAGAGTAAATATCATTTGGGATAATGTAAGGTCTCTAATGATATCTCATACATTCAAATCGGTTAAAGCATTTAAAAGTAATAATGGAATAAAAAAAAACATGTATAAACTCTGAAAAAAAAAACGTAAAAATTTAATCATTTTCATTTTTATCGAAAATATTACAAAAATATATTCCGTAGATGCTTCAAATATCTATTTAAGGCTGCTATTGCTTGAATCTTTGAATTGTATTTTATGAAAGATCAAAAGAAAGTGGCTTTGATCGCCAAAAAATATGCCCAGAGGGAAGGTTTTATATTATTTCAACTTCAGCCGGTTAAAGTTTCCAAGCTAACAATTTTATAATCTCATTTATACAATCGATCTAACAGAACTTTCTACCTATTGAAAAGTTTCTTCCCGTTATTGTAATGTAGTTACCGCCAAAACATAATATAACTTTATTTAAGTTTAGCTGCTTACAAGTATTTAACTTATTTCATTTATTAAAACATTATTGTTTCAAAGAATAATTTACATAATAAAATGTTTAATATTTTTCAATAAGATTTGCTTCTTCAACTTTTCTACTAACTAAGTTAGGTATGTAATATTATTAAAAAAATGAATACAAAAAAAAAATTAAAAGTATTTTTTTATACAACTAAGAATGGTAAACAAGCTGACAGCCCACCTGATGGAAAGTGGTAACCATCGCTTATAGACATGAACACTACCATGGACATATATATATATATATATATATATATATATATATATATATATATATATATATATATATATATATATATATATATATATATATATATATATATGGGATATATTGATAGCAATAGGGCAAGTAATCAGGTAGACCTCCATACGGTTCTCGTGGAAAGCATCGTGGTTGATTCTAGTGGAAATGAAAGCTGCTCAGTTGGCTCACGAGTGACGAAGGACTTTAATTCTTATCTCTCTTATTGGTGCCCGACCAGTATATGCCGATAGCGCAGGCGGGGTTATCATTTCATTCTCACCCTTTAAGAAAACTAGTTTCAACAATTACAAGTAATAAATTTGCTTAAAAAATTAAACAACAAAAACGAACGAATCTGCAATTAATACGAAATAAATGCAGGTTAAACTAATGCCTGTAACTGCTTTTGTACTAAATCCGAGCTCACACTTAATTGACTTTTATCAAGTGAAACCAGTGTCGGATTTAGGGCAAATACGCACAGAATTTAGCAGATTTTTTTTATGGATGATCATTATCATCAATAAAAAAAAAATAGCTAAATTCTGTGCATATTTGCCCTAAATCCGGGGGTTTGCAATTCAATGGAATGGTCAACCTCACTGCGATAACAATATAGGCTGGCGGGGCACCAGTGAAGGATGATAAGTGAGAATGAAAAGGCAGGTCAGTTAGCCCATCGTAATGAATACACCTGGAATTCAGCACGTTGGTTTCCAGAGAGGACCACGTGGAGGTCGATCTGACAGGGTGTATTGCTAGCAATGGGACTGGTAATCTACATTACTAATAATCCTTTCTCCCTTCCCCATTTTAGTTGTTTAAAATTGAAATTTTTATACATCAAATATTAGATATTAAAATATAAAAATAGAAACTTTTCTATTTAAAATTCAGATAATTCCATAAGCTCTATGTAGTTGGTATTATTGATCGAAGGTCAGAAAACAAATGCGCTCACTAAGGTTCTTATGTTCTTGATTTTTTAATATTTTCGTTTTTTACGAGTATCTCCATCATTTTATATAAAAGTGTTTAAAGGCACAAATCACAAATGGTAAGTAAATAATACAGTTTTAGTTTCTCACACACTTATTAATACAGTTTATAATTAATAAAGCATCACACTGCATCTACGTGTCTAAAATTTGAGAATTAAATTTCATAGTAGAATCAGTGTTAAAAAATCACTTACAAAAGGTATCGGGGCCGGCCCTGTGCTCAGCATTAATTAATCCCCAAGACCCATTAATGTTTACTCAGCAGACCGATATATTATTCGTTCTATTTGATTTGGCCGGAGCCACGACGTGACAAATGGCATAACGAACCAATATTTGACTTGCGTGCCAATCAAACCATTTCAAGTCAACCCGTATTTGTAACGTCAGCGCGCGACAGGTCAATAAGGTACCCGAGTGTAGGGTTGACACTTGGTATATTATTAATATTATTAATGTGTAAGTTTGTAATTTTTGTTTTTTATTTTATTTAATAACGTGAAAACGGTTGATACACCATGTTGAATTACCGCATACACTACTTTTTATCTTAATTCACACGAGCAAGATAAAAAAGTACTATATGAATAATTACCGTGTGGTCCCGGCATAGAATGGGCCACGCCTTCCTTTCCCGTGAGTGTCGGCATCATAATTAGCGACTAAGGTAATTTAATGGTCAAAGAATGGACAGCAGTGTCCCTCTTAAAACATCACCGAAGCCTAACTGTAGTTGCCAACTCGCCTGCCAAGCATAGCAACTACTGACAAAATTCTATGTTTAGAAATGGATATATAATGATTATATGAATAATACAATATCAATTAATAATACCATTAAAACAAAAACTACTTAAATAAATTCTCATTTCTGAATCCATTATTAAATTAGCGCTAAGACATTGGACACAACAAATCTGAATAGGTTACAATACATTTATATATACATAAGTATTAAAGATCAGGTAAAAGGAATTGTTTCTAACAATGTTCACAATAATAAAACTGTACGTAAGACAAAAAGCTTGTAGAAGAATAAGTAAACGTGTTCGTTAGTTAAATTGACGTTACATCAAAAAAATGGAAGGAGAATAATTGGAGAACAAATTACGTATCTCGTAATTTGCAATTATCGAGAATTGCACGATATTTGCAGTCAGTCTTCATTTTTGATATGATTCGTATCACCCAAAAGCAATTAGCGAGCGAATGTTGTTGATGACGCAATCATTGGACACAGCAAATTAGGAACTAATTACTACTTATTATTAATGAATTCGATCATTTGATGGCAAAGAGGTTGTTTGCCGAAGAAAAGTAAATTTAACGCACTTAGCGTTCTTTTTTTTGATGGGTGAAAATGGTATGGTAACCCCGCCTGCGCTAACGAGATACGCTGAGCACCAGTGAAGGGTGATAGATGAGAATGAAAACAGGACAGTTAACCCATCATGATGAATTCATCAGGAATTAACCATGATAGTTTCCAGGGAGAACAGCGAGGAGGTCGACCTGGTTAGTAATTGGTTATTGCTAGCAATGGGTATCTCAGTCTCCATTACTAACAATCTCTTTCTCCCCCTCCCGTACTTAGCGATTAGGAAGCAACCGTGGTTCGAAATACTATATTATTTTTTGCAATTAGCAATCATTTGCAAAATACTCTAACAGTGTTTGCTGTCAGTGGAAATTTGCCCTTTAATGTCACTTCGTGAAGCAAAAATTAGGTACACAGACAACCCTACCGAAGAAATAGGTATTTCATGTGAATCCAAAGCGAGCGAGCACATTCCACGCCGCCAACTATTCATAGCCTCTCACAGATTCATACGACAGCCGAG